CCCCCCCCCCCCCCCCTCCCAAAGCCTGCGGAATCCTTTATTTTCGGATAACTTTCTAAAGCATTAGCATTCATTCCCCTGTCCCTTCCTGTCACATAGCCAGAGTGGTGGTCCCACGCCACAGTTTGATGAATATACGGAATGCAGATTTTCGCACCACACATGCATACATACATGCAGGCAGGCAGGCAGGCAGGCAGGCAGGCATACACAACTGTAGGCGTGCATGTGTGTGTATATGTATATAGACATTATGCTGTATTACATTATACTATATCATGTTGTACTATGTCATACTATGGCTATATTGTCTGTTGATATCTTGCATTACATGATGTTGTGTTATGCGATAGGACCTTCTATTGTCTTCTGTTTTTATAATTCTAGTATCACATACATGCAGACACGCTACCCCCCTGTCCCCGACTTCTGCAGACCCACAATTAAAACAGTTTTGTGCCTACCGGCCTCTCCCGGGGCCAATCCATGTCGCCTGTCTTTGAAGGGATCCTCGCCATGCGCAACAGAGCAGGCACAAGCATCAGGCGGCCACTAGGCCTCAGCAAACTTCGGTGTCCCGACGGCTCTTGCTCTCAATATGCGAAGCCGTGGCACGTCCTCCACCTCCCCCTCATCCAGGATAAGCTGCGCTGGCTGTCCCGGCACGATCCTCAGCAAGTGTCTCCCTCGAAAAAGAATCGCTAGCGCCACAACCGGAGTGAGCTCCGACTGGACAGTCACGAGATGTCACGAGGAGTCTCTCGATTCGGTATCCAAGGCCGCTACACTGCCATGGGTCCCTGTAGTGTCGGGCCCTCGTCCGAGCCAAAGACTGCTGGCAAGGTGGTCATCTCGCATTTTGTCGTTCAGTGAAGCAGGTCGGTGCACCACGACTGAACCGCAGCCTTTGGCAAATGACACACACACACACGCTTTTCGGCAAGCCATGTCTAGTTCTCACATAAAGTCGTCGGCATCCTCCTGTCATCAAGCTGAACAGATCAGAGCTGCAGCTGGAGCACTGATGGTCGCAGTTGGGAAATTGCCGACTCCCGACTCAACGACGACAATAAAAGCATTCAGGGGATCACGTTGCAGCCGCATTTTACTTGCAGACCCCTGTGTCGGTTGTATAGTCCCCCGAGGAATGAATTCATCACCCGAGCCTGCGGCATCTTTTCCTTCTCCTCTTCAGCACCGGCGTCGCTGAGTCCCGCATCACTGCGGCAGTATGTGAGTGCGCACGAAGCAGGGCAAGATGAACAGAACTCGTATGACTCGTCGCAAGTCTCTAAAACAGCCTGTCGATGTCGCCAATTTCTGGCAGCGGGAAGCGCAGGATGCCGGCGATGCCGCTGAGTTGCTGAGCAGGGTGGACGGCTGCCATGCTCGAATCTTGGAGTGCCTCTGTCAGCCTGTTTATCGCTTGGACTGGCCTGAAGCTGCTCGCCGCTGACATGCTGCGAGGAGAAAATTTGGCAGCTGGCGCCCTTGCAGGGATTCTGATGGATTCTAGATTGGCTTCCTCAAAATCGGATGGACACGCTTCACATGCTCATTTGCCAGAGCACTGGAAAGGCTACAGCACGTGGGAACAATAACTTGATTGCGGGACTCTGGAGTTGATGTAGAACTGAGCCAACTCGAACCATGTTCAAGCTTGCCCTCCCTCCCTTCCTGCTCAACAACCTGACAATGACAATATGACAATATGTGAGGTCGCACGTTTCTCTTGCAAATTTGGACCTTTGGAGCTCCCTTTCTGCTCCTCGTGCCAGACAGTTCGGGCAGTTGGATGTATGTAGCCAGCCGCGGAGACTAGTCGCTTTCTAGTCGGATCATGGACATAGGATTCTTGGCTAATCAGACACCCATGAAGCGGAATTGGGCGTGAAGAAACAACACTGGCGGCGTGACTCCATGATACTCCATGACGCACTTAGAAAAAGTGGACCACAAGTCGACTCCACATGCATTCCTCCTCCTCCTGCTGTGGCGCCTGGTCTCTCGCCGTCTCAACCATGTCAACGTACCTGGCATCCCAGTGTCGTGCGGATGGATTTCAGCATCCGGCTCTCCGCACTGTCTCCGCAACTTCACGTTCGCATTCCGAAACAGCGAATCCACCACCTGACAAAGCTTACAAGAGCCATTCGCGGCCCTGGCTGAACGCTCCGAAAAGCTCTAAGCTCCCGCACCATGAGGGTTTGGACTGCACATTTCTCGATGGCTTCATGGACCTGAGTTTTTGCGCGGTATCTTGTCATGGAATGTCGGGAACGGCACTTGCTTTAGCGTGTCACATCATGGTTTTGGCGTGCTGATGTGGCCTGCTTCGGACCGTAGCAAACTCGATCGGGCCTCGCTTCAGCAAGTTCTGATAACATTTTGGGGTTTCAAGATGTGGACCGCCGCAGGGCCATCAAGCATGGGACTCCTTTTGTACCATCATGTAGAACTCCTCCAGCGCCTTGCTCTAGGAAGTATCAACACGAATACGCGTAAAGGCAGCGTTGTTGGCCTTCAAGTGAGCGGCTGCCTTTGTGTTGGCGATGCTTTTTTGCACCTGGTGTAAAAACCCTCAGCAATCCAAGCACAACACTCACCACACCTTCGCGGGTGTCTTGCAACCGTTCAGTCTGGCACATTGCCTGCTCGTCTGCGAGCAACTCCTTCAGCGCTTGCTTATGCCTCGGAAGACGGACAGATGCCTTGCAAGTACCAGTTCGATGTCGAAGATCCCTGGCATCAAACACGTCTCGAGCAACTACATCCTGAACCGGCAATACTTTGGGGCAAAAACGGGCAACCCACAGCTTTGAGCAGCCAAAGCTGTCAATGGCCCTCTGGCGCTTCCGGCCCCGAATCTGCAAAATGGTCCCAAAAACACTCCCAAAAGATAGATCTGCGACCTGTTGGGAGAAGAGGGTGCGACGAAATTGCTTTCCCCATGTGCTTGTCAATGAACAAAGCCGTTCTACCATGCCGCCAAACCAGTCGTCAAACCGGGTGTTGAGGTCAGACACAAAGATGCTTCTCCCCTCTAGGCACTAAGCTTCTGGATGGCCGGCTCCCGGATCGCACCTTTGCGCTGTCAGCTAATTGCTGCCACAGCTGCACACAGGATGCGTGGACGGACACGAAGCTGCTCTTCTTCTGCAGCAACTGCGTATCCCTGAGGCACCAATAGATGCACGCGTGTCATGCTACCGGCCGTGGCTTCGGCGAAAAAACGTAGCCAGCGATCTTTCTCTGTTCCGTGGAACAGGCAAACAGCTCTGTTCCCTATCCTACGCCCATGTGCCGCTTCGGTTGTTCAGCTGGTGATCGGTCATTTATGTCTTTCTGGTGGATGGCACTCTGAGTGCGGTACCCCGACTGGGTCGCTTTTTGAAGCATCCACCCCAGAAAGTCGTCCTGCCAAACCGAGCTTTGGTAACAGCATTTGAAGTTTTTCCCCAGCTACGTTTTCACTGACGACAGTTGAGCCCGCGAACTTCCGGTACAACACATGTAGAAAATTGCTACATGATGCATCATCAACATTGGCAGACCTCTCCTTCACAAAGCCTGGACCGGCCAGCAGCACACACTTCACCAAATCCAGGTTGATGTGGTCTTTGATGCCCTGATACACCTGGCTGCTGTCTCTCTCACGTGTCTGACCGGGGAAAAGCGACATCGGCGAACGAACGCGCACTCACCCTACTGTACCCGTCAGCAGGGCGTGTCACAGCCTATACCGCTACCAGTATCTACTGGTGCTGTGTTCAGCCTGCTCGAAGAAGCGTACCAGCGCTTTGTCGTAGTTTGTCGTTGTTGCCTCCAGCATCAGCATTTTAAATTCTGCGATGTCCTCTGGTCCGCAGCGACTTTGGCGCGGGCCCTCTTCTTTGGCAGCGAAAGAGAAACCCTGTGGACATCTTTTGCCAAGACCTAGGCTACTGAGTGAAGTCGCTGGCAAACTCGTAAACACGTCGCAGAAAGGCGGTCAAAGACTTTGGCGGCTGTGAGAAGGTGGAAGTTGGCGATACCCGCCTGCCAAAGGGCTTTGCCAAGGCTTCTGCGAGAAGTCCGAGACAAGTACGGTTAATGACGCAAGCCCGTGACGGCAGAAACATTTCCAATGATGCCATGCAAGGCCGGTGTAATGCACAGAATGTGTTAGAACCCCAGCACTGGGCACAGGTTGCAGTTTTTCAGACTCGCAAGCCGCGCTGTTGCATCTCCACGGCGATGGCCTGCGCTGTCGAGAAGCAAGTTGCAAGCAATTTGGACATTGCAGGGCACGAATGCGGCTTCAAAGGCAGGCCTCCTCCGCGCCGGCAGTTGAAGCACTTCGGCTCAACTGAAAAGCTCCTTAACTGCTGCCCGGAATGCAGGATGTGCATTCAATGCTAACAAGACAACGGAGATTTTTCGCGGATGTAGACGGGCATGCCAGTGTATCACCAATGCATCACGAAATCTTGGCGATTAAGACCCGACCGCTTGCTTGAACTAGATGTAGGCATCCTCGAAACTGGTGAAACATGTTCTGTGATGCCAGGCCAACAGGGAGTATAGTTGAGGAGGCTCGAGCCGATGGGAGAAGAGGAAGTGTGAAATAAAGTTCGCGTCAGCCACTTCATTGAGAGTCAATACTCGTGCCATGCAAAGGATTTTTGGGCATACCTCGAGCTAAGAGAAAACTTTGAGCCAAACTGTGCATTTGAAAACGAGGGGTGACGGCACACTTGCTGAACCCATTGCCGACGACTGGCACATCCCAGAGCTCCGGGCAAGGCTCGTTGCTCAAGGCACGCACATTTGGAAGAAAGATTGAGGCTCGAAGACATCCACATACATCGACTCATTGCTAGAAAGGGGATGGCCTTCCCGCTCAACTTGACAAGACCGCGTTTCAGCCCAGCTCGGAGGTTTGCCGCTTGCGCATCATGGCTGTCGGAAGAGAACGAGGCCATAGAAGGATAGATCAGATGCGCGCCGCACAGAGGCTTGGCTCAGGCGGGGGGTTTTGTCGGGCTTCATGCAGAGCTGCACACCTGCAGGACATGCGGCCAAGACATAGCGTAGGACAGGTCAAACCGTCAGGATGCTATGGACTGAGCCAGCAGATAAGCATACTGTACCTGTAGGTTCAGATAACAGTATGGACCGACGTTGTTCGCCTAGCTTCAATGTCAAGCTCCAGGCTTGTGTCCGAGGGGCGCTTCAGCTCGTGCAGTTCATCCTCCGAAGCCAGGGCCAGCAGAGCTGAAGATGTCTTGGGACCTTGCAACACACGCAGGGGTGGGGGCAAAGAAAGGGCACAGCAATGCATTGCAGACGGGTGGGAGCCTGCCACGGTGGAGCCCAGCATGTGCAGAAGGTCTTCGTCCTCTTGACCTGCATTGCCCAGTTGTGCAGTTGCCGCCTCGGCAGAGGAAAAGCCAGGGACATCTAGAAGAATCTAGTTTGGCTCTCCCTTCGCCGAACGCTGCGCATTGCTCCGGTGCTGCTTCGATTTTGAGGTGCCAGCCGCAGCCAGTGCCAAAGCTCTCGGCTCCGGAAGCCGACCTCATTGCGTTCTTTTTTGGTGAGGATTTCCAGGCCAAGATCCCAACATAAAGCCATGCAGCGTGGGAACTGTGGCCCGGGCCGATCAATCCAGTGACGTCTTTTCCCGGGGCTGTGCCTTTCATCTTGGCGGCTTGGCATGTGCGCTTCTTCCCACTGTGGCGATGGCAGACCTCGACGCTCAATGTCCTGCTGATAGTCGTTCAGCATGTGTCCCAAGAACCTTAGCTTTTGTGTGAACATGCCCAAACACGTTACCATGAACATCAACCTCAGAATTTGAGATGACTGGAACGGTTGCCAGCTTAGTGCAATGCACGTATCAGCATATCATTACGTACCATCCAAAGATGCTACTCAGCCGCTCCGTCATCAAATGGCTGACCGCCACGGCCAGTTCAGCGGATTTGTGCGACTGCGCCTCTAGAGGGAAAAGTCTAAACTGCCGCCTAATTGCGAGCCGTTAAGTATCTGGCCGGCAGAAGGCTCAGGCAGTGAAGCAGCTCTGCCAAGGCAGCAAAGCCACGCGTCGCCTCTCTCGCTCGGATTGCAGCAGTTGCTTCTCTCAAACGGCCAGGACCTGCTGAGGACGCGCGAAAGCACCAGGCAACGGGCCCTGCATCCAGGCTGCCAAAGCCAAAGGAACTGGCTGGTTCGGCATTCGGAGGCCTCTGTGAGCTGATCGAGCTTGAGAGCCAATCCAGCACAAATCCGGCCTTGCGACCGATACAACTACCGGCTCTGCAAGTTCTGCCTCATGTGAAAATCGGACCTACTACCACTACTACTACTACTACTACTACTACTACTACTACTACTACGACTACGACTACGACTACGACTACGACTACGACTACGACTACGACTACGACTACGACTCCTGCTGCTGCTGCTACTACTACTACTACTACTACTACTACTACGACGACGACGACTACGACTACGACTACGACTACGACTACGACTACGACTACGACTACGACTACGACCAGGACGACGACGACGACGACGACGACGACTACTACTACTACTACGACTGCTACTACTACTACTACTACTACTACTACTACTACTCCTGCTGCTACTACTACTACTACTACGACTGCGACGGCGACTACGACTACGACTGTTGCTGCTGCTGCTGCTACTACTACTACTACTACTACAACAACTACTACTACTACTACTACGACGACGACGACGACGACGACGACTACGGCTACGACTACGACGACTACGACTACGACACGACGACGACGACGACGACGACGACGACTACTACTACGACTACTACTAAGTGCCATAACCAATGCAACCAAAACATGTGATATTTACATTATTCGTTCTCGGAAACATCAGGAAAATCTTGCCCCAACTACTTGTGCCAGAGCCAACTTTTGCGTTTTTGTGCTTTTCAAGGGGATGTATGCGCTCCTCTGAGCGTCGTTATTTACAGCATTTTGTGCTTTCCAATGTCGTCCGAATAGCAACAAACAGCGGTAATTGCGGTGTCTTGTGCTTTTCCATAAAGCAGTCTTGTTCCGCAGAAAAAGACACGAGGTCGGAAAAGGGCCTTTGTTCCCACACGCTTGACGAGTGATAGGAATATGCGAACCGTGTGGGTTTTTGCACATCGACGAGGATAGCTGCACCTGTTTTTTGTATTTTGTTGTTTCCATTCTGTTGGGCGGGGGGGGATACTGACTTACAGGCTTGAGCTGGCATTAGCTGTAGCAGTGGTACCAGTGCCTGTCGCAGCGGAAGTGTCATTGGCAGTGGTAGAGCCACGTGCTTGAGCAGTGCTGACAATCTCAAGATGGTTGAAGCAGGCGACGCCATGGGACAGTGCAGATGGGAGCATGGGCGTCTTAGAATACTTGGTGAACAAGACGATATCCGACATGGACACTCTGCGGCAGCGTACCGCACGGCACCCGATGTCATTAGCCCCCCCCCCCACCAGCCCCCCCCACAACCCCGAAGTGCCGTCCGTCCCTAGCCACCTTAAACTGGAAAATGCTGTTCGTACCGTACCTAGGCGGTGCGTGCCTCTTGCTGCTACTATTGCTATGACTAGTACTACTACTACTACTACTACTACTACTACTACTACGACTACTTACTACTGCTGCCACTACTACTACT